TCATTTCCTAAATGCAAAGGGGACACCACCCCAGGGAATACCCGCCTGCAAACATCCCACCCAGCACTGGAGCCCTCGGGCGCATCCGATTCCTGCAGACCTAGGCGAAGCTTGAACTTCACTGGGGCAAGTCTGAGCCCTAGGCCTTGACTCCTGGGATTGTCTTACGGAAACTGCCTTTAAGCTCGGGAACTTGGGGACCCTGGGGTCTGGCAATACCTCCCCCACCCCAATCCATGCCACTATTCTGTGGGCGGGCCGCAGGGCGCAGGGCCCCTGAGGGAGAAGCCCGCCGGGGGCCGCAGGTCTAGCCGGGCTGAGCCACCCGGGCGCTCAGGAAGTCCATCCCACGCTCTCTCCCCCAGCGTTCGTGGTGACAGCTGGGGGACCCGGGCAGAGCCAGGACCGGACCTCACCCACCAGGGTGTCGGGTCCTACGTGTCACCGCGGGGCAGCGTCCCCGGCCCCACCCCGTTCCCAGGCGCCCACCCAGCAGCCGCTGCCACTCCCGAGCCGCGGCGGGCGGCGAGGCCGGGCTGGCGCAGGCGACCCGGGCCCAGCGCCCTGGGCGTGAGCTCGGGGACCCGGGCAGCCGCTTGGCCGCGCGCTCCGGTCCCCGCTGACAGCGAAAGTGAAACAAAGCTGCGCTCCCGCCTGGGTCCCCGCCCCGCCCGCCCCGCCGGCCCCGCCGGCCCCGGCGCACTCACCTCCGGCCTCCATGAGGACGCGCGGGCCGCGCCAGGCGGCGGCGGGGACCTCAGCCCCCAGGGCCGCGGGGCTTCATTCCGCGCCCGCGTCGGCCGCCCCCGCCCCGCCGCCGCCGCCGCCGCCCGCAGAGGCCATCAGCTGCTTCCCGTCACATGGCGGCCGGCGGGGGCGGGGCCGCGGCCGGGAGCGCGCAGGGGGGCGCAAGGCTGCGGGGGCGTCGGGGGCCCGGGCGGGGCGGGCGGGCGGGGGAGGGCGCAGAGCTCAGCCGACCCCGGGCCGGGGGTGGGGGGAGGACGCAGGGCTCCGGGGCGCGGGCAGGGGGAACGCAGGGCTCCGGGGCGCGGGGCCGGGGGACGCAAAGCCGGGAGGGACCAGGAACCGTCGGGGGGAGGGGGACGCGGAGCCGAGGGACCCCGCCGGCCGGGGCGGGCGCGCGCACCTGGCTCAGGCTGACGGAGGGCTGAGAGGGAAGCGGGCAGGGGGGGAGGAAGGGGCGTCGGGCGGCTGTGACCCGGGGCTGATGGAGGGGACCCCCGCCCCGCCACGCCCGGGAGCCAGAGGAAGGGGTTTGGAACCGCGGCCGAGCCCTGACTGAGCGGAGGGGTGGGGGCCCCGACAGCACCCAAAGTGAAAGCCCAGACACCAGCGCGGAGAGGCGGGGAAGCGGGCAGGCCGAGCGAGGGCAGCTGCCGGCGTGGTGATGCTGAGGGTTGACCAGCGCATCATCCCGGCTGGGGGAGCTGGGGATCACGGTGGGGGTGGAAGGCCGGCCTCGGCAGCATCCCCGAGGGGGAGGGATGCTGGAGAGCCTGGCTTGTGGGTGGGTGGTGCTGGAGGGGCTAGGGAGGCGCGGTCCGAGTCAAGGCCGAGGCACCCCTGAGTTCTCTGCTGGTCCTGACACCATCAGGTCCTGGTCCCGTCCTGATCTGCCGAATTTCTTTAACTCGGGGCCAGGGGAGCGGGGAGGGGGCTAGTTGCTTTGTTCCTGTACTTAACTGGCCTTGGGTTTCCTTAAGGGCTCTAATTGTAATCCCCGGTTGTGCCCTGTCACCGCCCCACCCACCCTCAAGGTCGCTCAAATCCCAGCCCGGACTTTCCTCAAAGCACAGTCCCCCAATTTCCTTCCCTTTGAGTCACATGGTTCTTTCCCGCACGTGGAGCCGGGAAAGGGGAAATGAAGTGATGGGTTTACTAATTGCTCTTCCATGCCTTGGATCCGGAACCTTCCTTTGCTTCTCCCAGTGTGTGCGTCTCTTCCACTTACTTTTTAGTCTATCTATGACCCATTTCTCCTCAGGTCTTCTGGATTATTCCTGCCACTTGCCAGCTGTCTGTCCGAGGAGCACTCCCGCCCCCACACATCCATTTTGTTTTCGATGGTCCCTTTCTCATCCTCATTTTATCTCTGCTGCCCTTCCCGACCTCCTTAGACCCCAATGCCGCTGTTCTCCAGACTCACCTTTCCTCTTCTCTCTAACCTGCCTCTGCCCCTCCACCTCTACCCTTTGTCAGTGTTCGTGTGCGGGAGAATACATCCCTATGGGTGCCAAAGGTACGGTCTCTGGTTGGTGTTTGTTTGGTTTTTATCCTGTGTTTGGTGTTTTACGCACATGTGTCTCTGGTGTCCAAGGAGACCAGAAGAGGACGTTGGATTCCCTGAAACTGGTCAACAGATGCGAGCTGTCATGTGGGTGCTGGAAAGTGAACCCAGATCCTCTCAGAGCAGTAGCTGCTCTCAGTCCCTAAGCCATCTCTCCAGCCCCTCCCCCATCTTTCTTTCTCAAATGGCCATTTCTTGGTGTGGTCAGGTTCTTGTTTTTTTTTTTAAATGTTTTGTTGTTGGAACTGTTTCTATTTTGAGGTGCTGGAGACTGGACCCAGGACCTCCCCCATGAACACAAAACATTCTATCAGTGAGCCACACCCTTTCTCATACTTAGCATTCACTGCGTGCAAGTCATGGAAGAACCTCAGCAACAAACCAACTTTCTCCCGCTCTTCCCTCTTCCCCTGTCCTGGACTCAGGCTCACAGCAGTCCTGCCTCAGCTTCCCAAGTGCAGGGATTACAAGCACAACTCAAACCTCCAATTCTTTACATTTACTCATCAGGTATAGATCAAGATCACTGCCAGGCCACACCTTTAACTGGGGCACTTGGGAGGCAGAAGCAGGTGGATCTGTGTGACTCCAAGGCCAACCTGGTCTACAGAGAGAGTTCCAGGACAGGCTCCAAAAGTTACACAAAGAAACCCTGTCTTGGAAAACCAAAAATAAATTAAAAAAAAAAAATCAAGATCACCGAAGTACATGTTTAAAAAATAACTTTTATTCCAAAATCTTTAAAAAATTCACAACTTCATAACTAATTTCTCCTAAACTTCCCCTATCAAATGGTAAGGTCGACCACACAGCCACCCGCAGCCTCTCTGCAGCAGCGGGGCAGCCAGTTCTGTGTTGAGAAACTGAATTGGCACTAAATGTACACACTTGTACCCGTCCAGGATGACGCTTGTGTGCTTCTGCCGCTGTGAGAAAGGATCTGATGCCAAAGCACAGCTTGCACAGCCCCTCTCCCACGCCTACTGGGTTTCGAGGGAAATCAACCTGACAGAAACAACCCAGAAGTGTTTTTCCTCCTGGTTCTGACAAGTGGATTTCAAGAGTTAACTACATGCAGATTAAAAAAAAATTTTTTTTGTTTTTTTAAAGATCAATGCGCAAATTGGACTTCCCATACAAAGTCTGTAACCCACCGTTCATATGCCGTGAGATCTCAGTAGGAATTGTGTTCAGGGAATGAAGTGGGTTCCAGCTCCAATTTTTTAAATAAATAACATGAAGCCCCTTTAGTGCCTGGGCTCTTAACTGATCTGCCATTCCATAAATGTGCACACAGGCTGATAAAAGTGGTAATAAGAACTGATCAGGGTTTCAGAACAGCATTTGGCACCGAGCCCTTGGAGCTCCCATCTGCTGGTGGAAAAACCCTCAAATGTTTCCTATTGCCAGGTGTGTGCAGAAGAGGAAGCCATGGGAAGCACCCAGTAATCCCAAAACATTCCCCATGTTCCCAGCTGTGACTTCCCCTCTACCTAGCTTCTCCTCTGTTAAAGTTGCCTCTGAGTCACAGATACACTCAGGAACTCTGTCATCAATCAGGCCTCAAAGGAGAGGCCATCTCCCGGGACTGAAGGCAACCTGAGTAACGTACTGTGAAATGACAGAGTCTGGAGTGACCCAGCGTATGAGGTACCACAAAGGAAGAGAACTACTTCACTGCTATTCCCAATGGCTCAAATTCACAGCCAGCTGAACCTCCTGGAGCTCAGAGGGGGCCATACTGGCAGTGGTTTCTTCGGTTCAGTCCCTGCATTCAAAGAGAACAGCCAACCCTTTAAAGGCCTGGACCTTGTCCTGTCTAAACAGGATGTGCACAAGTACAGAGTGCAAATTCCAAGTCTGATTTTCATGGCTAGCACACACCTATTGCACCTTTAGAAGATCCCTGACTTCAGAATAATTATGAAATTAAAAAAAAAAAAAAAGAATCCCAGAACTTAGCTGTCCCTAGCTAAACTCATCACCCAGTATTTTCTTTTGAAGCTTACTGTCCTTGATCAGCCCATCCAATAAGTGGGAAGGAAACACATATTCCCATTTCTAAGACACAGAAATTGAGGCAAGTGGACTGTTTGTCCAGTCATGCCAGGCAATCTGCTAGAAATGTTTCCCTTGCCTCCTTGCACAGCACGGGAGATAGGAGGAAAGAAAGGCAGAAGCCGACCTTGAGAAGCATCATTTAGGAGGCTATTTTAACCACACACAGGTCTGTAAACCATGAAGCTATACGGGAAAGATGTGTCCTCTGGGGTAAGAGAATAGTTGGGGGTGGGCAGAGTAGACTCGGTCTGAAAGAAGGCTCCTACGGCAGCTCTATCGAGCACCCCCCCACACACACAACCTTTACTCCCTAAACTACCTCCTCGGTTTCTCAGGAGCTTGGAATGTGGTGCTGTTTCATGCTTATTCTAGATGGCCAAACAGAGGCAAAGGAACAAGAAAGAGGCCTCGATGTCTGACTCCCCAGTCCAACCAAACTGCCTCACCTCCCCCTGGAAGGGGGCCTGGTTCCTCACCCCAGCAGTGATAAAAAGCCCCACGTCCATGCCCCTTTGTGTAGGGCAAGCTGGTTGCAAACCTTCAGGGGCACAGTGCACAAATATCAAGTGAGAGAGAGCCTTCCCTACCCCGCAAAAAAAAAAAAAAAAAAAAAAAAAAAATCAGTGTCTGTCACAGGAGATCAACCTGGGAAGAGCCAGGTGTCTCAGCAAAGTGGCACCTCAGGCACCACTGTAGCTTTGCCCGTATCTGCATCTGCTGCATCTCCCCAGTGCACTTCACGCCACCCCACCGCCGTGAGGTAACTCACACCAGATGAAGATGGGAGGAGAGATGAGTGCCCGTGCTGGGAGACCCCAGCTGTCACTAATGCAAGTTCCTGGGCAGGGCAGGGCCTCGGTGAGAGGGCAGTCAAAACGGAATGGACTTGCAAAACCCGTTGACAGTGGACTACCTTCATCACACCGGCTTGTCTTCCTCTTCAACAATGTCACTTTGCCGTTCATCACTGTCATCTGTTCAGGGGTAAAAGAGATGGAACCGAATGATTTCAACAGCAGGATAGCTTTTTACCGTCTGTCCCCTGTCACCTTGGTCACCCTGTGAGCTGCAGAATTGGAGTTCATGGAGGAGGCAGTGCAGGGCGAATAACAATCTCCTTTGTTCTGCTCTGTTCTGTTCTGTTTGAGCCAGGGTCTCACATAGCCCAGGCTGGCCCCGGACTCACCATGTAGCCAAGGATAACTCAACTTTTGATCCTCCTGCCTCCACTCCCCAAGTGCTGGCTTGCACCACCGCACTCAGAAGTCATCTGTTCTCTGAATTCAGAATCGAGATACGCCTGATGCTTGTCACCCATCATACTCCTGACTCAAGCAGGAATGCCCTCTCCTCTCTGTGCGTGTCCAAACTCAGCTGCCCCTGTACACCTGCCTCAGAGTCTCCTCTCCCGTACCTCTCCCAGCTCTTGTCTTCTTTCAAGGTCTTAAGACCTTGGGACTCACAGAGATCCACCTGCCTCTGCCTCCCGAGTGCTGGGATTAAAGGTGTGCGCCACCAACGCCCAGCTACGCACAGTTCTCCTTGGGCTCTCTCAGCACTGGAAAAAAATGTTACTTCCATTTTAATTTCCCCCAACATACACACATTTTCATGCACTTTGCCTGCTGCTCTTAACAAGCTGCCCATTCACAGACAATACAGGGCTTTCTTTCCTGTTCAACAATCCCCGTATTGTGTCTTCCCCACACACTTGGTTGGATGATTTCTTCTCGGCACTGGTAGTTAATACATGCTGATTATCTTACCTGAAATGCCTGGGACCAGAAGTGATGTGGACTTCAGACTGTGGGTAGTTTGTATGTACAGAATGAGAAGTCATGGGATGGGACCCAAGTCTAAATATTACAGTTTCCTTAAATAGGTCAATGCAATAATGATAATATTGTTTATTTAGTGGGGGTAGATAGAGAAGAGAGGACAACTTTGGGGAGTAAACCCACTCTTTCCAGCAGAGTCTGAACGCAGGTCACCGAGGATCGGCAGCAAGAACCTTTACTCATTTAGCCATCTTGCCAGCCCCATTTTATACAATATTTTAAATAATCGAATGCATGAAACAGCTTTCAAATACATTGAAGCATCAGGCTTGGGGCATTGATTGACACTTAAGTGTTGCGTATTTGATTTTTAGGATGGAGTACAACCTGCCGTGGAGTTCCAGGTTCTAGAACTAAATTTGAGCTAGCTAACTTCCTTAGGCTTTAGGCTTCCCTACTCCTCAGAGACACCTCGGGGAGCTGATCACGCGCACCTGAGTACCTCGAAGGCAGGCAAGCTTACCATGCAGCTCCTGGAGTCCATTCCCCAGGCGGTCTAGGTTTCCGTTGACCAGTGCAGTCACTCTGTGAATGTGTCCGTGCTTACGCATCTCTTTCGGCAACCCCTCTCTCTCGTAAGTCTCCTGCTCTGCCTCTTCAACGCCTTCCTCCTCTTCCTCCTCCTCGTCTTCCTCTTCAGAATCCACCAAAACCATGACATCACCCATGTCCTGTCCCCTAATTTCCAAAGGAGAAAAAAAAAATAATCAGGATGTCATCTATTCCGACTTGAGCCCCAATGAACAGACACACTTGACTCGCTCCCTGTAATCCCTTTAAGACCATGGAAAATTCCTCCTGCAGTCACCACGGCTTAGTCATGATAGCGAGGAAAAGATGTAGCTACAGATGTCAAAAGATAGTGGCCATGTCTTTTGTAGGATATTTGTTTCTATGCTGTCGAGCACTGTGTTATATCAGGCATCTAGCACTGCGTTTCTCAACACGGAGCGTGTGTCACTGCAGCATCCATGGTGGAGTACGCCCGAAAGTCTATGCATGCATGGTGGAGTACGCCCGAAAGTCTATGCATGCATGGTGGAGTACGCCCGAAAGTCTATGCATGCATGGTGGAGTACGCCCGAAAGTCTATGCATGCATGGTGGAGTACGCCCGAAAGTCTATCACTTGGGAGGGGGATACAGGAGAATCCCGAGTTCAAAGTCATCTTTGGTTACCATAGTGAGTCTGAAGCCAGCCCAGGAGGATACCTGAGAACCTGTCTCCAAGGGGGGGGGGAGGGGTGTGTGTGGGGGCGGGGGCGGGGTGTGAAAGTAAAAACAAAGCTGTTTCTTTCCTTAGATGCCCTTATTTCTGTCTCGCTCCCAGAGCGCTCTCTTGGTCCTTGGGTAAACTCTTCTCCCCTCCACCTGCATCTGGGCTCTATGTCCAGCATCCCAGTGTGGAACTGCTCTGGGCTTACCACTGCCATAGCCTGCCTCACCCGGCTACACGCTTATTACAAAGGGAATGACGCGCTTCACCCACTGACCACAGGCCCAGGAGCTCTGCATCCACAGTTACCACCCCTCTGAGAAATGGATGGAGTGGATGAAGCCTCAGAAGATCGGGAATACTCCACACACAGATTTCGGGAATTGCACTGGGGCCCAGGGCCATGGTTCCAAACCCCATAATGCCACATGGTGTCGCCTGCAAATAAACCTGAGGATGACAAATTTGCCTGGACAATGGCCCTCAACAGCAGAGTGGCAAAGGGAATGGCCTCCCACGAAAGATGGTTCTAGAACAATAAGACTCCTTTGTGAGGGATGGCGTGGGGGGGGGGGGAGGAAATACTTTCTACAATTCATAAAGAAGTCTTGCTACTGCCCAGCATTGCCTTGGGAAATGAAATATACAAATTCCATTTGTTTACATTCCCCTCACTTTATTTTCCTGTGAGGGTGGGGACTTGTGTGCATGTTTAGACTTGTCTCCCAACACATCCTATGAGCCTAAGATTCAGCCTTTTTGCTCTTTTTAGAAAATGAAATAAAGCAAATGTCTGAGTGACTTGGCTCACTGTGCCCAGCCCTTAGGTCCCCACTGGAAAGGAGCACAAGACGCTGGAAGCCATGAGACCTGGGTCAGAGGACAGACCCATCATTTGCTTGCTGGATTCTCGGGCACACCCTAATGGCTCCAGTAGGTCTCTCCACCTTCTCATCAGTTAAACAGACACATGCACACACCCACCAAAGGATGTCATCAAGGCGGAGGGTTTCCCACAATGCCTCAGGAAGCTCCTAGCCCAGGGTCAGGGACATGGTTGGTCCCATCAGAGCTAACTATTATTAATAATATTTTATTATTGTTGTTGTATTTTTTTTCTTTTCTTTTGAGACAGGGATTCTCTGTGTAACCGCCCTAGCTGTCCTGGAACTAGCTCTGTACACCAGTCTGGCCTAGAACTCACAACGATCTGCCTGCCTTTGCCTCCCGAGTGCCCCTATTAAAGGCGTGCTTGCTCGACCACCGCCCGGCCAGAGTAACTATTATTGCTCTTAAGAGAGGAGTGGGAACGGCGGTGATAAAGAGCGATGGAAGCCAGCTTTGGCTCAGAGTCCCAAGACCACTCACCTCAAAGTGCTCCCTGCTGAAAGAGAGAGAGAGAAAACAAAGGTAAGCATCAGGGCATCACTTCAGCCTTGATAGAGTTTTCAATCAAAGCAGCAGTGGCTGGGGAGATGACTCGGTAGCATGAAGACCTGAGATCAAATGCAGATGATGGCTGTTTCTACTCAGACCCCCAACATTGGGGGCGGGGACACAGGAGCTTGCTGGCTAGTCAGCCTAGTCAAAGGGGTGAGCATCCAGTACAAGGAGACTCTGTCTCAAACGAGTAAGGCTAAATGACAGAGGAAGCCACCCAAGGTGGTGCTCTGGCCTCTGCATGGGTACACATGGGCGCTTACACCCACACATTCCTATGCCCACAATACACACACACAGAGAAAATAATAAATCTGTAATTAAGTGATTTTTAAAAACTAACGTGGATAAAAGATGAACAACTATGAACATTCAAAATGCTCAGGGATGGTACTTAGGGCAATTGCACACATTGCTCCAATGAAGCATTCATAGGTAGAGCTTTTTAAATTTTAATCTATTTTTATGGGTATGAGTGTTTTGCCTGCATGTGTGTCTGTGTCCAAGGAGACCAGAAGAGGGCATTGGATGCCCTGGAACTGAAGTCTCAGACAGTTGTGAACTGCCACATGGGGGCTGGGAATCAAACCCTGGTCCTTTGGAAGAGCAGGCAGTGCTCTTAACCGCTGAGCCATCTCTCCAGTGCACTTACCTTTCCAGCAGAACACAGGACTATAGTACAGCATGAGCCCCGCGACAATGGCCAGTCCCAGCAGGAGGAGGCTCACCACTGTCCCCACGATGCCCCCGACGTTCACAGGTTCTGAAGAGATTACACCATGATCATTTCTCACAGACACATAAAACCTCCTTTCTTCAGCCCAATCCGCTTCTTCTCATCTTAGTCCCACTGCCCACGAGACCACTCTGAAATCAATCTCAGGCACCGAGTTTGGGGAGCCAGGGGGAGCATGCAGCATGAAAGGACACTGGAAGTTAATGGGCCTTGTATGGACCAGACACTGGGACTGTTTCCAAGGCCACGGAAAGCGAGAGTAGGAGACAGCGCCACAGTAAACAGGGTGATGGATGGGCCAAGACAGAGATTTTTGTTTGGTTTGGTTTTGTTCTGGGGGGACAGGATTTCTCTGTGTGGCTCTGGCTGTCCTGAAACTTACTCTGTAGCTCAGAGAAATCCACCTGCGTCTGCCTCCTGAGGGCTGACATCAGAGGTGTGTGCCACCACCGCCCCACAGAGAATGTAGCTGCTGGCCATACACAGAGAAATGTGACATCTGGGTGTGGTGTCACAGGCCCCAGGCAGGAGGATCCCAAGCTGAAGCCTTGCCTAGTTTATAGAGGAAATTCTAGGCCGGCCAGGGCTACATATGAGGACCTCACAAGAAGGACAAATAACTGTCTTGAGAGCGACCAAAAAGGGAGTCACAACCTTTGGGGCTGGGTCAAACCCAAGCAAGGTGGGAGGGGCCAAAAGGAGGAAAGGAAACAGATCTTCAAACCACACACCGCCCATAAAAATCAAGTCTGTCGGGAGAATGCTAAAACTTCAGAAAAAACTACAGAAGCAAGCCAGGCATGGTGGCAGATGCCTGTAATTGTAAGCACTCTAGCAATGACAATATAAAATCAAAATATCAATCAACTCTGAACAACACTGAAGGTGCCCTGTGCCCTTCGGTTTAAAACACTCATCCCAAACTTAGTTCTCTTGATTACATTTTTTTGTTTGTGTGCTCACACGTGCTTATGCACGCATGTCACAGCATGTACACGGAAGTCAGAGGACAACTTGAGGGAGCCGGAGCTCTCCTTCACCCTGTGGGTCCCAGAGAACTGATCCAGACAGACCTGGTAGCTACTCACTGAGCCATCTGACCAGCCCTCAAATTCATTCCCTATGTGAATGAGACACGTGCATCCAGCCCCTTAGCAGGTCAGTTTTGCTTTCCTATTTAACGAATGCGGGAAGTGTAGGTATATCCCAAGAAAGTTTTCCCAAAAATTGCTTTATTATGTGTATTTTGCATCTCTTCATACCAAGGGCCCTGAAAAACTTTGAGCGAAAAGTTGTGACTGAGAAATGTTTAAGCAGCAGCTCCGGTACAAAGGAACAAACCTTTCCTGCTCCCTCCCTCCCTTCTTCCCGTGTTCTTAGTCAGGGTCTGTAGCCCAAACTCTCTACGTAGCCGAGATGACCTTGAACTTCCGACCCCCCGCATCCACCTTCTGAGTGCTGGGATTGCAGGCAGATGCCACCATGTCCAGTTTATAAGGTTAGAGAGATGGGACCCAGGGCTTTTATGTCTTAAGATAGAAAAACTGTTAATAGTGTTTTCTAGAACTTGCCCCGTCCCTCACAGGAAGTTCCATCTATGCTATAAGTCGGATAGAAGAGAACTATGGGTTCACTTTGCTGTTACAATCCACTAATTTCACTATCTATGTGCATGAGTGTACATATACACGCATATACACGCATGCATATGTGTATGTGTGTGTCCTAGAACATATTCCTCAGTGAGTAAGGGGAGTAATACTTTGTATCCTAGTGCTTCCAGAATTGGACACTAATTTTCTCAGCCACCTTGTCTACCCGTAGACAAGTGCCATCTTCGGTCAGCCATGGCCTAGGTGAAGAGAGGCCCCAAGACCTCCCGGATCAACAGAGGCTCTTAACTGTTCGGGGCCACCCTCAGCACCTACCTTTCACACTCAGCCAGATGTCTACAGCCCTCACCCCCACAAGGTTCTCAGCCCGGCAGAAGTAGAAGCCCTCATCCACGTCCTGCGAGCAGCTGTAGATGGTGAGGGAAGAGCCCTGGCTGTGCTGGGTGATCTGATAGTGGCTGCTGGGCTGGATGGCCGTCTCTGGCTTTGTGAGGTTCCTCAGCCACTGGATCCTGGCAGGTGGGTTGGCACCTGTCACTTGGCAGGTGAGTGTCACGTTGCCCCCCATGAAGCAAGTCTTCATGGGCTGAGAAGCAAGTAAGGGGCTCGCTGGGGGTCAGAAGGAGGTAAAGAGAGGCAAATGTTTCAGGAGAGTCAAGCCATGGCCTATCCTTTCCCAGCAAAACAACCAGTGCTAGAAATTCCCACACCTTGCCTGATCCCCTGGAATAAAGCCTAGCATCTATTGGGTATTTACTGTGTACAAGGTGCTGTATGCAAACGAGCCCAATTCAGTTGCCAAAGAGCCTCAAGATTATTCCCATTCTGCAGAGAAGGAAACCGAGGCACAAAGAAAGCCTGGCAAATTGCTCAGTCATACAAGTTAAATAAGAGATATGGCTAGGACACAGGGTGACCTACTGTCCTACTTTTCCTAGGACTGAGAAGGCTGCTGGTCATGAGGCTCTCCATGTAACACCAATACAGCTCTGGGTGAAACCAAATAGGCCGATGGATCATGGGCCCTGAGACCAGAGCACCAGGTTCTATCACCCACTAGCTTACATGTCTATGTGCAAGAGGACACCGGCCATTGTAGTGGCTCAGTGGGTAAAGGGGCTTGGTGCCAAGTCTGAGGTCCCGAGCTGGAACCCTGGGATGCATGTGGCAGGAAAAAGGACACTAGCAAGTTGCCCTCTGACCTCTGTGCTCAGACTGTGGCACATGGACACACATACACACAAACGTAAAGTAATACAAGTATGCCGACCATGTTAAACGCCGACATACAGGCCACCAAGGAGGACCAAGAAGTTGTTTCTTCTCACTGATGTGACAAACTCAGTGGCTTAAAGCCGTGTTCTACGACAGTGAAATGATTTTATGGATCCAAAAGGCAGGGTGCTAACAGAGACTCCTTTTGGATGATCCTTCTTCATAGCTGGACGGTGCCTTTCCTTCCCTCTCTCTCTCTGTGGGGAACTCAGAACTCCCAGCACCCACTATCTCTAACTCCAGTTCCCGGGGACCCAGTGCCCTCCTCTGGCCCCCAAGAGCACCAGGCACACACATGGTACACTAACACATGCACGTAAAGCACACATATACACAAAATATCACACACACTTGGCCAACATGGCACCAACCCATTCAAAGAGTTTATCTGAGAGGACACAAAGGACAAGGACAGGGAGAAAGATTGCAAAAGATGTGTGGCGTGTGGCGACCGGCAAGTGAGGGTGGATATGGAGCCCTTCACGTGACGGGTTGGCAAGGGTGGCCCTTCGCCCAAAGTATAAGCTTGATTCTTCAACGAAGGGACCTGCAGGCCACTTTGAGACGTCTGCAGCAGAGAATGGCAGCTCTTGTCTGTGGTCCTGATATTTTGGAGGTTGAGGCTGGAGGGCACTTGAGCCCAGAACTCAGAACCAACCTAGGACTCTAGCGAGCCCCTCTTTTTTGGGGGTGTGACAGGTAAAGGCACAGAATCTATGGCCTCACTCAGGCGAAGCGAGGGCGCTCTGCCCTTAGTCCTACTTTCCTTTTTAATCTCTCACAAGGCAGCATCTTGGGCTGGGGGGGGGGGACGTCCTACTGTGTGTGAAGGCTAGGGTTTCATCTCCAGCACAAAACAAAAACAAAAAACAAATAAACAAAAAAGAACAAAGGAGCTTGATAATTCTCCCCCACTCCCCTTGAATATGGGCTTCAGGTACTGACTTGTTGCTAAGAGACAGAATGTTCCAGAGGGCAGACTAAGCACCACCCTAGGCTAGGTCCTACAAAGGGTCGCTCCTGCCTGGCTCAACCCCTCTTGTATCAGTGGCTCTCAGGAAAGTGGGTCACTACACTGAGAGAACATGCTGACAGCCCCGTGGAAGGTGGTCCCATGGGGGCGGGGAGGGGGAGGACAGCTCGCCCAGCAGCCCAGCACGTGAATGAGACTTTGGAGTATTCTGGTGGAGACCCCGCCCCATCACATCACATGTTCTTGTGAAGAGAGCCTGCACCCTATCAGAAACCCTCAGGCAACAAATGGTATTGTTAAAAACCCCAAGGGAAGGGCACAAGGAGAGGTGAAGTGTGTGGTGTTGGTAGTAGGGGATTCTGGGCACTCCAACACCGAGTTTCTCTCACAGAACTATCATCAAACGATTCTTTGAGAAGAAAGGCAGGCAGGTGAACCCCAACCCCGGGACAAAGCAAGCCAGACTCACAGATCTGTACCACACAGCTGGCTCCCGACTCTGGTCCCACTATGTGGCTCCCAACGCATTTGAACTCCCTGCTCTCCGACAGCTGAGCCGGTCTCAGTGTTAGCAGCTTTGAATTCCCCAGGACAGTCCCTCCAGGCTCTTCAGTCCACAGGAAGGTTGGGTCAGGGTATCCCCCATCCCAGCTACAGGTGAGTTCCAGGGTGGCTGATTCCAAAGACACTGCCACTGAGCACTGAGGAGCTGATGGAGGAGACCCTGTAAAAGAGGAGAGGAGAATCGTGCTTCATCTCAGACACTGAGTCAGACAGCACGGCAGTGTGCGTGCGTGCGTTGGCGTGTCTGTGCGCGCGTGCATGTGTGCATGTGTGTGCACGCACACGCGCGCGTGTCTTTTATAAAACCAGGGTCTCAGAGAGTCATCAAGCTATGTAGTCTACCTTCAGAAAGTACCTGCTGGGCTGAGGAGTATAGCACAAATAGTACAGTGCTTGCCCAACGTGTATAAGACCACGGGTTCGATTCCCCAGCTCCCCACAAAACAATTGTGGTGGTACTCGTCTGTAATACTAACACTTGGGATACAGGAGCAGGAAGGTTAGGAGCTGAAGGTCATCCTTGGCCACTTATCTAGTTCAAGACTAGCCTGGGCTATAAATGATACTGTTAAAGAGGAAGAAGGGAGGAAGAGGATGGCACAGGCCACCGAAGCCTCAATGGGTAAAAAGCATTTGCCTTGCAAGCCTTACCACACAAATCTAATGCCTGGAGCCCACAGCGGAAGTGAGCCTTTGACATCCACACTCATATCACACACTTACAAAATTAATTTTAAAAGACTTCAAAGGGGCCGCAGAGATGGCTCAGTGGTAAAAAGCACAGGCTGCACTTCCAGACGACCTGGGTTCAATTCCCAGCATCCATGTAAGGTGGCTAGTGAGCCCCAGCGGTCCTTGATCTTTGCCTCCTCAGCACTGAGATTACAGGTTCATCTGCCATGTCTGCTTTCTTGTGTGGGTGCTGGGGATTCAACTGTTTCTCATGCTCACGTGGCAAACACCAACAATTGTGTCCCTGACCCATTTCCCCCCTTTTTGAGACAGTCACTTTGTTGCAAAAAGTCGTGAGAATCCTCCCGTCTCAGACTAGGGCTGCAGGGATAAGCCACCTTGACCAGCTTTTGTATATCTTGAAATGTTAAATACTTTCCCCTCTATTAAAAAAAAAAAAAAAGCTCTCTCTTAGTTTCCTTCTGTGGCTTAGAGGACTCTGCCACATCCCGGATAAGAACAGGCTCCTAGAAGGGATGAACCTCATCTGACAGTCCAGGTATGTGCATGCATGTATGCTGAAATATGCAATGAAGCACATTAGGATCTATGTGTGGACATTATACAGCCCCCAGAAACGAGGCCCTAAAACACACTACAGAGCCACGGTGTAGAGGAAACCGTGCGAGGCAGGAAAAAAATAGCATTAAAGCTGAAGTAAGACACACAGACACGGTTCAGAGGGGCGTGCTGCTTACGCACAGTAGACCAGGAGCTCGGTGGTCACCTTTCGCTGTCTCCCGCTGAGCACGTTGGTGGCTGAGCAGGTGTAGTTGCCTTGGAGGTTCTGTGACATCTGCAACAGTGTGAAGCTGTTGGCCGTCAGGTTCTTTCCTAAGGACTCCAGGATATGGGTCTGGAGCCACCACTCCATCTCAGGCGGAGGCTGTGACGAGCTATGGCAGCTGAAGTCCACCCGTGAGCCCCAGGCTGTGTACAGGGTACCGTTGGAGAGGGCGCCAGTGGCTGAGATGTTAACCGCAATCTGATCAGGGCCACCTGGGAATGACAGGGGGGAGGATGGGTATGAATCCTCCTCCACAGCTCTAGAGGAAACAGACAGCAAGGACACCTTACCCACACTCACTGTGACAAAGCTGTGCTTAGTGTCCTCAGACTTCCATTCATTTGATCTTGGGACAGTTGTATGAAGTTGACTGTGGATAGGGGAGAATTTCCTTAAAGGACTTGCCATCTGTTTTTTCTGTTTTGTGTGTGTGTGTGTGTGTGTGTGTGTGTGAGAGAGAGAGAGAGAGAGAGAGAGAGAGAGAGAGAGAGAGAGAGAGAGAGAGAGAGAGAGAGAGGAGTTCATGTAGCCCAGGCTGGCCTCAGATTATGTAGCTGGGGATGACCCTGAGCTTCTGATCCTGCTGTCTTCACGTTCCAAGTGCTGTGGTCACAGGCATGCGGTACCATGCCTGGTTTACATGGCGCTGGGCTTCAAAGTCAGGGTGCAAACACCAACAACTGAACAACACTACCTCAAAGAATTTCCGGTCCTCACGCTTCTACTGCCCAGGGCTGGCCTTAAGATGGCCAGCAGCCGGGGATCCTCTCAGAGGTTAAGTGCTTGCCACTCATTCAGAGGGATCATAGTTAGGTTCCCAGGAAACATGTCCAGTAGCTCACAACTTCCCCCAACCCCAGCTCCAGAGGATCCACAGGCTCCTCAGTACTTTTGAGCTTGCACGTGCGTGCACATACGCACACGCACACACACACCCTCACTTAAAAATAGATCTCACCAGACATATCCATACACACTTTTAATTCCACCAATCAGGAGGCAGATATAACCTGTAAGTTCAAGGCCAGGCTGGTCTACCTAGAGAATTCGAAGATAGTCAGCGCTACATAGTGAAACCCTGTCTCAAGGAAGCAAAGACAGAAAAGAAGGCCCAGAAACACAGCTCAGCTCACCAGTTAAGAGTACTGGCTTCTCTTCCAGAGGACCTGGGTTGGATTCCCAGCCACCCACACGGTGGCTCATTCAACTGCCTATAACTCCAGTCCCAGGAGATCTGGCGCCCTCTTCTGACCTGCACAGGCAAAATACCCATACACGTAAAATAAACTAAAAATAAACAAATTTATAACATTGAATTTAAAAAAGCAAAAAACAAAACAAAATTCCTGCCAAGGGGCTAGTGGTTAAGGGCACTGGCTGCTCTTGCAGAGGTTCTATTCCAAGCACCTGCATGGCAGCTCACGACCATCTCTAAGTCCAGTTTCAGGGGTTTGACAGCCTTTCTGGCCTCCACAGGTATCAGGCACACACATAGCGCACAGACATACATGAGGGCAAACACCCTATACAGAAATTCCCTACCAAGGAGGAAGAGTGTGGGCACAGGGAAAAGGACACGTGGGGCCTGCAACTACTCTCCTACTGAGACCCTGGAAGGACCTTAACATCCATGTCGGGAAGGTTTCCACCAATCACCAAACCTGTCACCATGGCTCTCCAGGTCTCAGCCTAGCACAGCCGAGTGGTTTAGGGAATACTGGCTTTCCTCAGAGAACCTGGCATTCTCATAGGTGTGGGCAGACCAGAGCCCACGGAAAGCTCTGGAACCTTCTCAAATGCGCTGGCCCTGGAGCCCTTCCTTTCAGTGTGGCTGCTTTCTCTCTAACCAGCGGATATGCCGAGCTCCTGGGAGTTGTCCTAAAGTATCCATGAACCTGAGGCTGGTCTTGCCATCACCCACCATCCCTCCAAGACATACACATCATGCCAACAGGAAATGACTGCTCCAGGCCTGACTGGATTCCAGCTGTGCGGCTTCAGGCAACTTACTCATCCCTGTGTAGCCTCAGTTTCCTCCTCTGTGATGGAGGTGATGACAGTATCCCCCACTCAGGGCTAAAGTTTATATAACAGAGCACACAGAATGGTGCCTGCCATGCAAACTGTACAAACACTGGACCTCATCTTAGTTCACCTTAAATTATAAACTCCTTATTTATTGTTTTCAGTGCTGGAAATGAAACCCAGGGCCATGCACATGCCGCCTATGAACTACACCCCACCCAGACCTGAACTTTCTCAACCCCCAAAATGCCCTGTGCTGTGGTACCCTGCGCATCCACGATGCCAGGTTCCCTTTGGAGAAGGAGCTGGAGAAGCGGCTCAGAGGTGTAGTGCATGCTCAGTGTACACAACTGGGTTCAGCAGAATGTGATGGGTGGGGAGGAGGAGGGGGAGGAGAAGCATGGAGGGAGGGAGACCCTCCATCCCAGACGTCAGGAAGCAGAGGCAGATGGGTCTCTGTGAATTCAAGGTCAGCATAGTGTACATAAAGGGTTAGAGGCCAGCCAGGGCTACATAGTAAGACCCCGATCAAAAACAAACAACAAACACGATTCTAAAAGCAAGGGCTGGAGAGATGGCCCAGTGGTTAAGAACACTAAGTGGTCTTCCAGAGGTCCTGAGTTCAATTCCCTTCATCTACACGATGGCTCACATCTACCTGTAATGAGATCTGGGGCCCTCTTCTGGCCTGCAGGGATACATGCAGACAGAACACTGTATACGTAATAAATAAATCTTAGCCAAAAAAAAAAAAAAAAAAAAGGTGGGGGGGGGAGAAACTTATCTGTACAGTTATTTTGCAAATTAAAAGACATTAAGGGGTACACCCAACAGCTGCTCATGTTAGCAGGCCACCTCTCTTCAGAGGGATGTCTTAAAAAAAAAAAAAAAAAAAAAAAAAAAACAGCCCAGAGGAAGGTGAAAAAGCCTCAGCAAAGGAATTCATTATCTACAGCTGCGGAGTTTATTCAGAAATAGGTCTACAGGGGAAAACAATGTATCATTTATAGGATGCAAAGATTTCCCTACGCAGTCCTTCCATGGAAATACCCCCTTTCCTTAGGCCCTCACTTAGCAGCCAAGGCTAGCCTCGAACTCAAGCTCTTCCTACCTCAGCCTCCCAAGGGTGAGTTACAGACATTCTTTCTTCCACACCTGGCCAGGACAACATCTGCCTACCCCCAAGGGTCTAGGGAGACTTAGGTGGTGGCCTGGGAAGAGCCTGAATACCCCATTCATCACTGCTGGTTAGTTCCACAGGTATGTGGCTCAACAGGTCCTAGGGCGTGTCTTCCACTGGCATCCCTCCAACTAAACAGGGTTCAGATGCAGTACTGAGGTACTGGTGGCCGACACTCAGGACTGGCAAAGGACGCATACCTCTGGTCTTCCAGGTCCTGGTGGCCTGGCCTGGACAGAGTGAATCCCCGGGAAGCATCTGGGAAGGACTTTTGAGCCAAACAATCGACAAGAAGTAGAATTTGCTACTGAGAATCACTGGCCAGGGGTCAAGCAAGAGGTTCATAAAGAATAAAATAAGGGCAGGAGATGGCTCAGCGGATAAAGGCGCCGGCCACGCAGACCTGAAAACTGGGGTGCAGTTCCCAGCATTCCTGTGGTGAGATGGAGGCAAAGACCAGAGAAGCCCGGGTGAGCGAGAGGGGTACACTGTGCAGCTGGACAAATGAGAGAGGCCCTGACCACTGAGGGGAAACTGAGTCCCGAGAGCAGTCTTCTGGTCCCTGGCAAGTATGCACCCACTCTCCCACGCACACATAAACAAACTTTCAAAAGAGGGCAAGCAAGCAGGTAAAGGTGCTTGCCACCAAGTCTGTCAACCTGAGCTTGATACCCACACCCACAAAGGGGAAGAAGGGAACTGACTCCCACCAGTTGTCCTCTACCTCCACACCAGCACCACGGCACGTGAGCATGCGCGCGCACACACACACACACACACACACTAAATAATATTATATATGTATATATACATATATACACATGCACACACTAAATAATATTATATATGTATATATATACATATATACACATACACACACATAAATAATATTATATATGTATATATATACATATATCCACACACACTAAATAATATTATATATATATGCATATATATACACACACACTAAATAATATTATATAAGTATATATATACATACACACACACACACACACAAACTTAAAAAAAAATGCGAGAGTGAAGAGGCAGCTCAGGGATGAGAGACACTGGCTGCTCTTTCAAAGGACCTGGGTTCTGTTCCATCATCCACATCAGAGGGCTCACCATTGCCTGAAAAGTCCAGCTCTCAGGATCTGAAGCCCTCTTCCAGTCTCCACAGACATCCATATATTTGTGGCATATACACATACACATGACCTTTTGGGTTTTGATACAGGGTCTCACCTGGTGAGGCTAGGCAAGCGGTCCACCACTGAGCCATTCTAACCCTTGTGTAGCCCAGGCTGTCCCAGAGCTCTTACTACATAAACCAGGCTAGCTTCAAACTCATAGTCTCCTGCTTCTGTCTCCCAAGTGCTGTGAGTGAAGGTATGTACCACCAAACTAGGACGATAGACCACTTAAATTTAAAAAAAAATAAAAATCAAAGAGAGGCCTCAATGAACTACTCCAGAGTAGTTCTGTGTTCCAAGATCATGGCTCATCTAAGCCCTAGGCTCAATCTGAATCATTTAAACCCTGTCTTCTTGACTCCCTGGGGTTCTCAATCCACCCAGGAGGTGCCACATGCAAACTATGTCCCACCCAAAAGGCTCAGGTCCATGTTATTTCAGATTTTAGAATGTGCGCATCCATTCCACCATCCAAGACCCTCTTTACTGAACACCCGGAACCTTATGTTCTGCTTTGAGGGCTAGGAGGATTGCTGCAAGGGATTTTGTTGTTCTTCTTGGACTTTTGGGCTTTTTGGTTTTCTATGACCAAAGTCTCAAGTAGCACAACTCAAGCCTCAACTCTGCTTTGTAGCTAAGGATAACCTTGAATTCATGACTAACCCATCTCTCCCTCTCTAGGGTATCACAAACAACTAAGTTCATTTCTCCTCCCTTTTTTCTTTCTTTCTTTTTTCTTTTTTTTTTTTTTTTTTTTTTTTTTTTTTTTTTTTTTTGACTTTTTTAAAGATTTATTTCTTTATTATGTATATACTGTTCAGCCTGCAGGCCAGAAGAGGGTATCATATCTCATTATAGATGACTGTGAGTCACCATGTGGGTGCTGGGAATTGATCCCAGGACCTCTGGAAGAGCAGCCAGTGCTGGTAACCACTGAGCAATCCATCTCTCCAGCCCCTCATTTGTCTTTTATTTCCCGCTTTCCCTATCTCTCCTCATTCCCTCCCCCCTTTTTTGGATGAAAGATCAAAGCCCATATTCTTATTCTCCTTGGTAAACATTCTACGCCTACGCTACAGCCATAAAATAAAGAGCTGGCTGGGCAGGTAGGCCATGCCTTTAATCCCAACACCTAGGAAAGAGGCAGGAGGATCTCTGTGGCTATAAGTAGCCAGCCTGATCTACACACTGAGCACCACCAAAAACAAAAACAAAAAATTTTTGGAGAGGGCGGGGGATGAGAGAACAGAGAGGCAGGAAGAAAAGGCTGGGATGTATTTTTTCCCATGGGAAACCAATCACCTTCGTAAGCAGCCGACCCCAGGTACAAGGCCAAGGTCCTGTCCACTGTGCCAGTTCACCTTATCAGTGCATCTGATGCAGCAAAACTCCACCATGGCCCTGAACTTCACAGATGATAAAACTGAAGGCTGAGGAGACAACAGCCAGCAGAACTGATCTGAGCCCAGTTATGAGGACCTCAGAGGACCTACTGTTGGCAACAGGAGGCACAAAGCCCCCCCCCCAGGAATGCAGTGCTGGCAACATTCAACACCCTCAAACTCCCTGAGTAAATGAAACCAAGTCCCCTTCAGAGCTATGATCTTCCTCGAAGGCCACTAACTGAGGAGCCAGCAAGGTGGGTCTGGAGGGGCCTGTGGGTCAGGACCCCCTGGAGGGAAGAAGAGGTAAGATCCCAGGAGGCTTTGCTGCAGATCAACCTCAGGACACTTGCCTCCAATTTTCTTGGAGAAACTGTGCCAACCATAGACCCACATTTCCCAATGAAGGATTTCCCACAGTTCTGATTGCATCAGATGTATTAAGGAGTACAAGGTCTTGTTTGATTTCAGGGACATTTGTGTATTTACTTGCAGGTGTGTGGGCATGTGTGTGAAGGGCAGAGGACAACCTTGGCTGCAGTTCCTAGGACACTAGTCAGCTTTTTGTTTTGTTTTGAGACAGGGTTTCTCTACATAGCCCAGGCTGGCCTCCAACTTGCCCAGATTGAAATCATCAGTCACTCAAGCCCACACTCCTCAGTGACCTCTTCCCCAGGCTCTCACTTGGGTTCCCCAAGCCCATTCCTACCAGTCGCACTTACTGGCCACCTTCAGCCACACATGGAACCAATGGGTCTCATTCAGAACCTCCCGGCAGGTGTAGTTGCCGTCATCCTCCAGACTCAGTGCCTCCACATGCAGGGCACCTGCATCCTCTAGAGAAAAACGAGGCGAAGCTGGAGGGAGGCTGGAATTGGAGGAGAGCAGGAAGATGGGCTCTGAGTCATTCCGGTACCAGGTCACCAGGCCCCTGGATCCCGACACGTTGCCACAGTGAAGAGTAACGTTCTCATGGACTTCGCCGATGGCCACAGCACCCAGGTCTGTAAAGGGAAGGTCAGGCTGTCAACACGTTTTCTGATTGACAGGCAACAACCCTTTGGGAACAATAGGATTTTCTTTTTTAATAAATAGCCTATGGTATGTGTGCGCTTGTGTGTGTGTGTGTGTGTGTGTGTGTGTGTGTGTGTGAACGCGCATTCGTGTGCACACTCTCGCAAATGCATTTGAGGCAGGGTTTTGTACAGCACAGACTAGCCTTGAACTCACTGCATAACACTACTCAGGAATAGACATTGACCTCTGTCCCTCCCAAATATGGGATTACAGGCCATACCACAGTCTATACAGTGTTGGGGCCAGGCCCCTGAACTGCCTATCCAATCACACCAGCAGTACTGAGCAATAAAGCATCACACTCTCCATGTGGCCATCTGTTAGTCCGAAATCATACAGCGTTAGGCAGCCATCTTGCTGCCTAGACATCCAGATGGGGTGGGGGTAGGGGACCAGATCTGCCTGTCTGCCTCCCCCTGGAGTTAATCACTTTGGGCTGCTCCATGCAGGAAGAGGTTGACAATAAACATTGTGTACACACTGGGAGGCAAGTCCAGTGCTGGGCTCTGCAGGTGACAAATGAGAGGCATCCAGTTCACAGGCTGGTGGGAATACAGACGCAAAACTGGCAAGGAGGATAGAGGTGAAGGGCAGGGAGACAGGAGGGCTCCCAAGGCGGCTGGGAATGTGCCAGGTAAGACTTCCTTCAGGAAGCAAAGCAGAACCTGATGGACAAGTAGGCATGGGATGGGTTCAGAAGAAGCCAGAGTCCCCGGCAGAGGGAACAGCAAATTCAAACGCCCACACCAAAGCCAGCTGTGATGACACCCATGTGGGGTCCCAACACTCAGAGGCAGGAAGGTCAAGAGTGGAATGCTGGTGTGGGCTCCGTAAGGAGACCGACTCAAGGAAACCTGTGGGGATGGATGGAAGAAAATGAGAAACCGCACGGGCCACAAGTGACAGCTTAGAAAAACCGTCAGCACCCCCAAACCATCTCAGTTGGAACCGAGTGGCACTGGGACTTGCCAGCCCTCTGCGGAGGATTTCAACACCTGCTCAAGACTGATGGGCAAACCACAGCTGATCGGGGGTTTAGCCGGTGGTTTACAAGGAACAAATGCAGCCCATGTTTAACTGAGAAGTAGTATTCCAATTGTGATTTCCACGATCAACACCCCACTCTAGAGAGGCCACCGGGCAGGGATCTGGGCAGAACCTGCTGGGCTGATGAGAATGTTCTGGAGGAAACGAACGGGGGTAACAGGCACAGATACTATGCACCAAATCGTAGCACAGAAGTGGAGGGAGGAGACTAACTTTCAGGAGTCAGGTCTCTCCTTCCACCATGGGGGGGGGGGATGGTGAGAGGGAGGGTGCCCAGGAATGGAACTCATGCCATGCACCTCTACAGCAAGCTCCTCTGCCCAGTCAGCCCTGTCGTTGGCCCAACAGAGTGGTTTTTATTTTGTTTTGTCTCATACTTTATTATGACAGGGTCTCAAGCAGCCCAAGCTGACCTTGAACTCATGGCACAGCAGAGAATAACCATACAATTTGCATCCACTTCACCAGGGCTGTGATGACAGGCATGTGTCACTACCACATTTGGTTTTATGGGGGGCTAGGATCCAGGGTTTCATTCACACTAGACAGGCACTCTACCAACTGAGCTACATCCCCAGCCCACGAGAGTAGAGTTTATGGTATACAGATTATATCTCAATAAAAACGTATTAAAAACAAAAAAGCCGGGCAGTGGTGGCACACACCTGATCTCTGTGAGTTTGAGGCCAGCCTGGTCTACAGAGGGAGTCCCAGGACAGCCAGAAATGTTACAGAGAAACCCTGTCTCAAAAAAAAAAAAAAAGAAAAGAAAAGAAAAGAACAACCACCGGCTTCTTGGCAACCTTGCCATGAGTGTCTGAGCTGGGTCCCTCCTGCGACAGGAAAAGATTCCTTTCAAAAGACTGAAGTTGGGCTGGGCCACAAGAAGTCCCGAGTCTCTGTCCATCCTGGACACACTACTTCTAAAACGTTTTCAAGCCAGAAGAGACTGGGGGGGGGGGGGATGCGCGTGTGTGTACACATAACACACAGGCCAGTATCTGCAAAGTAGAGAATCAGCTAATGCTAGCCATTCTCAAACACTTGAGAGGGATATTTTACAAGTCTGTCACAGCTGAGCCTGGTGATCCATGCCTACAATCCTGCTGAGACAGGAAGATCAAGTTCAAAACCATCCTGAGCCATGAAAAGACCCTGACTCAAAAGGGAGGATGGTGTGTGTGTGTAGTGTGTCTGTGTGTGTGTGAGTATAGTGTGTGTACTGTGTGTGTGTCTGTGTATGAGTGTGTGTGTGTAGTGTGTGTGAGTAGTGTGTGTGTAGTGTGTGGTGTGTGTGTGTGCACGCGTGTGCGTGCGTGTGCATGCAAGTGCGTGCATGTGTATCAATTTCAAATTATTAGGATACCAACCCAAGTTCTCACATGGTGACTTCCACCATGGAAAAGATGCACTGTAGAGTTACCTATAGCTGCATGGAGTGTCCCTCAGACCAACAGCTGCCCCTTCCTTGTCCTCTGCAAAAATATAATGGTCTGTTAGCCTGGAACAGGCTTCATGCAATTTTAACCTCAAAACCTTCTCGGAGGAAGGCAATGGCCTGACTGGTTTTCCCCTGGCTCTGCTCACTGCTTGTAACTACTGAAGCTGAATATGGCCTGAGAAATCAGCTAATCAGTGATGCGACAGGAGCTGTTCAAACTCAGAGTAGAGTCATCGATTGGTGATGTCTGTCACGGACAAGGAGAGGGCAGCTCCTGAAGATACATCAATTCCACACAAGCTGGCTCCACGCATCCTCGTTACACTAACATTTCAGGCTCCATATGTATCCCTACAGATGTGGGACAGTCACAGTCTGGAGTGCTCTGGGTCAGAAGTGCTTGGTTCTTACACGCTGGACAGAATGAGACAGAGCCTAGTACCAGTGGGTAAATGTGCCAAACCTGATCCCAAAATTATTCTCTGACCTCCACACACATGCCATGGTATATACCTACCACCCACAGAAAAAAAATAAAATGAAATAAAAAAAAATTAAAAGACAAAGTAATGTTTGTGCTGCTCAATGTCATTCACCGTCCAGGGGACACTGTTGCAGTCCCCAACCTTAAATTCACATTATGCAACAAAGAAGGGAGAGAGATAAACTCTTTGGCCAGTGAGTGTTTACCACGTGGGACTCAAACTCAGGGCATTCCTCTGCTAAGCAAGCGCTCCACTAGCTGGTTATACCGCCAGCCGCACACTGGTCTTGATGCTATCCGTATTTACACAGCTGGAGGTGTATCTAACCACTCATCTCTCCCCAGGAATTCTCAGCAAGCATGGCCTGGAGTATACCCTTCAGGTGACAAGCCAAAGCATCAATGCCATGTATAGGCAAGAGAAGAAAGACACCCTGTCCCACCTAAGGTCTAAAGTATGCATAACTAGCAAGCCCCTGGGCGCCACAGGCACACAGGTAAAGCAGGCCTGAAGGGGCTGGGCATAAAAATTACTGAGCAGAAAGTCGGGGTTGGTGGCTCATGCCTACAATCCCGGCACCAGGTGACAGAGTGGCAAATTTTGGACCAACCAGGACTAGGCAGTGAGACCATGACTCAAGCAAGTTAACAGGGCATGGCAGCCAGAGGGAGGTCTCCAAGTAGGAAGAAGCATTCACTCTGAAAGCAAGTTCATCCCAGCATGAATGTTCAGGCTCCAGGACAGAAGATTCACAGTGACCCCTAATGCCCAGAAAGGCCATCAGGTACCGACCACAGCAGGGAGGTGGTGGTGTCGCTACCTAGAACACATGCATCACCCACAAAAGAATTTAAAAATCCATGACCAAAAACCAGGACTGGGGATAACACAGCAAGGTAAAGTGGAACAAATTTGGGTCACGTGTCCTCCATAATGCAGATGACCACTGCTCAGTCCCAGGTGGGAGAGCCGACCCTGTACTGTAAAATCTTCAGATTTTTCCACATACACCAGAAACATTAGTTATGGAAAATGTGGCTGATTTTATGTGACTATTAAAAGCAAATGTAAATAAGTAGATTGTAAGAGCATAATAATAATTAAGGACTTTTGTCGCTTGCTGCTAGGGAGCTCAGGTATAATTTAATAGCTTACCTACAAGGATCCAGGTGAGTTGACCACACACACACACACACACACACACACACACACACACACACACACATATACACCATTTCCCATGCATCTTGGGAAATCACCCACCTCTTGGCTTCATTCCCCTCGCCCCCACCCCCCCGGAACATTCCTGCACACAGTAGACACGGATTCGCTGTCAAGTTAAAACTCAAACATCCTTTTTCAATCTTGTTACAGTCAACATATTTTACTAAGCAACCCTCCTCCCCCTGCTTGGTTTTTTTTTTTTCCTTTTCCAACAGCGCTTCGTAGAGGAGGTATATAAGACCATTCACCAGCCAAGTCTCGTAGGAAGGGAATTTTGGGTCAAATCTGAAATGATTTCCAAAGAAAACAGAAAAAGAATGGAAAAGGGAGACGCGGCTTGGAATTCACCGGTCGGCACAGGTAGATTCACTCAGGGAGGAGGGTGTGTGTGTGTGGGGGGGGGGGGAGAACAGCTCCACAAGTTACAGGTGTAAGCCCAGGTCAACCTGGGGCAGGCGGGGAGGCGGATACAAATGGGAGCTTACAGAGGAGCGCCGGCGCCGCGGACACAACCAGAACGAAGAGTTAGGAACGGAAAGGAAAAAATAAAATAAAAAATAAAACCACCACTTTCCCCTCCACGTGCCCTAGGGTGGGCCCTGCCGCACGTAATCGCGGAGCTTTCGTGTCCCCAGGCTGGAGGTGGCGGGTTCCTTACCTGCGGAGCCCTGGCGGGCCAGAAGCGCCCCAAGGCACAGCAGGACGCGTAGCCCGGCCATCGCGCTGGAGATCTACGGCCGGGGAAGTGCGGGTCTCTGGGTGCGAGGGCTTCTAGGGGTTCTCTGGCCCGCGGCGAGGGGGTCCCCGACTAGGATGCTGCGGCCGGGCCCCGGAGATCGCCTCTGGGGCGCGCGCCCCGCCCCTGCGCCCAGCCCGCCCGGCTGGCGGAAAACAACAGGCGCGGGCCCCCTCCCGCCTCTCCGTCAACTTCCTCCACCTTGGCCGGGAGGAGGGCCTTGTGCGACGATCCCAGTCCCGCGGGGCCTGGGAGGAGGCGGCCCCGAGCTCTGGCCCGCCGGTGCGGGACGCGCTCCCAGCCTGTGCACTGCGTGCGGGCTGCGGGGCTCCGGGCGCCGTCCCAGCCCTGCGGCTCTATCACGCTTGTCATCTGGGTTCTCCGGTGCAGGGGCGGGCCACAGCGCCGCCATCGCTCAGAGCCCAGGGAAAGATGATCCCTCGGCCGTCCGGCCAAAAGCAACCACGAGACTCGGGTTCTCGAATGAACTTGGGTCGAGACCACACGGGAAGAGCGAGTTTTGTTTGCAGGTACTCCGATGCCTGTCCCTTTTGCTATCCCCACTCTCCCATCCCGGCAGATCCCCGGAGCACCACATTTCCGGGATCAGCTTTCTGGCATCCCATTTCTTCGTCCTGCGGACACCACCATTGCTGGGCCCTCGGGAGCGTATCTGCCCTTGAAAACAGCTCTGAAAGAAGAAACTTCGTGTTCAAAACAAGGATGTAGTCAGCGCCGTGGACATTTCTTTGTGGGCTCCGGGAGGTGGGCGTCCCTCGGCTCCCTCTCTTCCAGCCTTTTTGTGAGTTTGTAAGATATCGGGAGGGCTAAGGATGGCGCTCAGTGGAGCCTGCAGCAAGCCCTGGGCTCCATCCCAGCACCTCAAAAACAGTAAAATATGGGGTAAAACTAAACTTGGAATAAAATCGCTGGTTCTGCCCCCGAAAAGCCCCACCCCCGCCCCCCGTGGGGCTTCCTAGGGAGAACTGCTTTGGGATCTCTAAACAGAAGGTGTTTAGCCTACTTACTGTTGGTATCCCCAAGGCCACACACCTAGTTGCCACCCCCACATGTATTAAATGAACAAGCATTGCTGTTTGACACACCAGTGCCACTCAGTCTTCTACCTTGAGGCAATCCTCCTGCCTCAGCTTCTCACATGCTGGGATCACAAGGGTCCCTTCCACCACATTGCCTGGCTACTTTAATTGGTTTTGATATTAGTTCAGCTCTGCAGGCAAACATTCTGGCCTGGAGTCAACAGGCTGTCTGTAGGAGCATTGCCCAGCAATGTTTTGGCTAAGAGTCTGGAATATTCTGGAACCTCGATGGTGCCCAGAGAGGGAAATTTCAGAGAGGAGGTCTGGAGAACTTGCTGATTAAACCACAAAGTTTTTTTTGCAACCCTTGGACCTGAGATACCATCCTCCAGCCTCTTTTTACTGGGTGCAGTCTGTTATTCCCCAGCGTAACAGACTTGTCTTGCTGTCCAAGACAAGTAGGTTGTTGGTAAAAAACCAGGACTAGATTTCACTTATCTGCCCCCAGATCCTGCTCAACCAAATTCCAACACGGTCACTTCTTCCGGAACCACTAAGGGCAAGGGAACATAGGGCATGGTGGAGAGGAAACAGCCACCCCTTTGATTTAGGGCCAAGGGTGGTGTTAGGAAACATGTTTGACTCTCCACTCCGGAGTCAAAGATGCTCTGCCAAGAAGGCTCACTTGCCCCATGGGGCAAGACAGTAACAATACGAGACCCTCAGGGGCCTGTATAAGGGTAAAGTGCCTTGACTTACAGCAAGGTAATCAACGTTTTGATAGGTGAAACTGAGCGTTGTCATGGGAAATTTCATTTGAGCCAGGGCCCTCAATCCCACAATGAAATATGGATTGTGGGGATCTGGAAAGATGATGGGGCAGCCAGGACTGCTTCCTCCTCTTGCAGAGACCCTGAGTTTAGTGTCAGCATCCTTATCAGGCAGCTCACAACTGCAGTGACTCCAGCTCCAGGGGAGCCGGCCCCTCTTCTGGCCTCCCTGGGCACCTTCATGTGGTACATGTGTGTAGTCACTCATACACACAAGTAAAAATAAGACTCGGATAAGGAGATACAAGCTGTGGAGCAGGGATACATCTGTTTACGCTGCTACTCGCGGCTAGTCTCGTCTGGTTTGAGGTTTTTTTTTGTTCTGTTTTTGTTTTTCTCTCACAAATCAATGAATTAAAAGGTAGGAAAAATCTCACAAAAAGATGGGGAGGTGGGGGGACTGTGTGTGTGTGTGTGTGTGTGTGTGTGTGTGTGTGTGAAGCATCACACAAGACATGGAGAGTGAGCATCGCCACAGAGTAGAGACAGGGTTCAGGGTCCCTGAAAGTCAACCCCTTGGGCAGACTGCAGTGTGCTCCAGGTGCCGATCTTTGTGAGCTGCCCACCCATGCAGGGATGGGCTTTGGTAATGTGGCTGTCTTTGAGTCATTTCCATTCTTGTAGGTAACCCCTCACCCATACTCTTCGTCAGTAACCCAATAAAACTCATTGGTTCACACAATTGGGCTTTGGTGGTATCCGTACTTTGGTCTGTCCTGTGTCCCCTATCTGGGATATTGTGTTGCATCTCCCTAGGAAAAGTTTGTCCCACGACACGGACAGCCATAAGCAAGCTCTGCTGGCAGCAGAAGACGACTTCCAGGCTGTACTCTCGGGCCAGGAGGATGAAAAGGACGCAGAGGGCTTCTGATCTTCATCATCTGTGAGGCAGAATTTCCCTATCTGCCTGCCTGTTGGAGAGATGTCCAGCTCCTGGACACTCACATGCATTCCGTTACCCAGTCCTTGGCTACCCAGAGAGAAATAGAAGGGTCACAATTTGAACCCGAATCTCGGGCTGCTGCATCATTTTTGTTTCTTGAGGTGCTGGTTGGGGATGGATGTCAGGGACCCTTTCATGCTGGGCATGTGCTCTGCCACTGAGCCACACCCCTAGTCCTAGATGCTGTGGTGGCCGTGGGGGGAAACTAACCTGGGTTCTGGCTTCACAGTAATTGCATCATCAGCCTGGGTCTTTGAAAACGCAGGCAAGCCATTTTTGTGCCAATTATTTCTGCCCTACTCCTCCTGTCCCTAGAGGCGACTGAGAGATGGGTCTTAGCAACAACCTACAGGTGTTCTCTGGGGCTTTGGTGGCAGGGCGAGCCAGTGGGGACCAGCCTGGGAGGAAACAAGCTGCTGATGCAGCTGCCTGGATTCTGGAGAAACAAACCTCTAAGAAGAGGGGCTGGCAGAGTTGGGCGGGAAAACAGTTTCCAAATAAGCAGAACCCAGCCTCTCTGGACCAGAGACCAGGAGGGTGAAGTTCTGTGGCTCTGAGACCCATGGCTCTTGGAAGGAAGATCCACCCCCCCACCCCACCCCAGAAAGTGAAATTGCCACTCTCAGAGGGAGCAGGAAGATGGCCATCCGGTTCCTAGAGAAACAGACCCTGGAGGCTGATAAGAGGTGGATGAGCCAGGTACACTAACAGGTGAGAGCAGCCAAGCAGGCTCTGGGGGATAATAAAGCCACACATATTCACAACCCTGAGCCCCATGCCTGGAAAGGCTTCTTTTTGTCAGGATAACTCCAAGTAGCTCTCAGAAAAGAGTCCTGCTGGGAGCTAGACCTAGGACCAAGGGGTAAGTAACCTCAGCTCCCCTCCCCTGCACTTTAAATAGATGCTCACCTATTTGCATATATCTGTGGCCAAGACTGTTATCCCCCCTCCCCCCCAAGAACTGGGGCACGTAGCTAGACCTGTGTCTGAATCTGTGGAGGCAGCGGGAGCTGAGTGGGCTGGGTGTGCAGCAACGTTGGAGCACTTGGCTGGCCTTGGGTAATAGGCTCCAGTCATTAGGAATTGAGTCAGTTGTACTGGGCAGTAGCCCCTAACCATCAAGAGTTCCTTGGCTCCAACGGCAGAAACAACATGGCCCCATATGGAAAATGACCCACCCTGCTCCCAGTCAAACCACAGAAAGAAAAAGCTGTAACGTCCTGGTAGCTAGCTGGGTGTGTGTAACATGTCCCCCAGTCCCACTAAATGCACTCAGCCTTCATCCCTGGGAAAGGTTGAGGCCCCTAGTGGTCCCAGTAATGCCTCCTCTGTCTGTCAGCCCTTCGGCCTCATTTTTCTTACATCCGGTATGGAAACCCGAGACCCTTAGGGTCTTCTAGGCAGAATGCCCTCCTTCCCTTATGTCATTCCTCTGGAGACATGGACACCCGCTAAGCTTGCTATATAGACTGAACAGCCACCAGCCAGACCTGAGACCTCTGGTCTTTTGTGACCTCTGCCTCCTAAAGTAAGTAGTGCAAGCAGGTCCCATGGACAGAACTTTGGTTCCTGGGGCTTTATTGATGCCCTGTGCAAACCCAGTTTAACCATAACCCTCTTGTCTTTCAGCATACCCCCCCATCCATCTTCCTTCGTCCCTACCTCTGACTTCTTCCTCCCAGACCCTGACCTCCAGGCTGAAAGGCCTGTCATGGTTTGATCACTGCCATTGTGCACTCAAATTCTGCAGGACAAGGTAACCCTCCCTCAGGGCCTGACTCTGAGGTGCCCAGACCAGACCCCAGCAGCCCCAGGAGCTCCTCACTCTTCCAGATCACAAAGTCTTGGCAGTTCTGGGAACCTCCCAGGTTTAACAGATTTTGTGAGTCTTATGAGCCTAGCCACTGTTTCTTTTTTTCATCCTTCCCTACCTGAGGGACGCCTCATGAAGTGGGATAAGATTCTCCACCAGTCCTGCCTATCATTTCAAACTTAAACCAAACCATTTAACAGGCTCTAGAAGTCCCATACAGGTTTAGCTGTCCTGGAATTTTCTCTGTAGACCAGGCTGTCCTCAAACTCAGGTATCTACCTACCTCTGCATCCTAAGTGCTGGGATTAAAGATGTGCACCACCACTGCCCGGACTGTAAATCATAGTTCTAACAGGG